AGGGCCCTGCCGCCTCCCGCTCCCGGGCCTCCACTGCGCGCCTGTCCAGGCCCAGCTGCAGACCCTGGGCTCGCCCGTCCTCCTAGATCGCGCTCCCTGTTCCTCCCGTCACCCGCCGCCTCGCCCTCCCTCGGAAACCCACCCGCAGAGACATTCCCGCGGGCGGAAGGGATCCGGCGGAGAGGCGACGGCTCAGGCACCCGAAAACATGGAGTCCCAGAGAGACCTGGCCCTCCAAGCAAAAGGCCTGTTAGCGTCTCCCACCTCCACTCACTCCTCTTCTCCCACTGCCCTTCCCCTGCACCCCCCCCCGGCCTCGGGAGGGGGGCCCAGAGTGGGGGTGCGTGCGGCGTGTCCAAGAACGGCCCAAACGTCCGGAGGCAGAAGTCCCTGGAGTGGTCATTTGTCTTCCCTTTATTCCAGACGTCAGGGAAACCCAACAGACCCTCCCGCTTCCCCCAGCTTTCCTACCCACGTCCCCCAGGCTCCTCTCCCGCCTCCATTCGGATTCCTCCATTCCGGAGGCCGAGGCTCCCCCCAGTTCCAGTCAACTCCTCTCCTCCCCACAGACCCCTCAATTTTTAACCGCCCCCCCCCACACACACACCCGGCAGCCCCGCCCACACCTGCTAGCAGAGCAGTTACTGAATTTCCCTCGCAGGGTCGGGGTCTAACCAAGTTGGGCAGAACATTGTATAAAGATTAGGGAGGGCTTATTCTAATTTTTTAACGACCCCCCCGCCCCAGAGTCAGGCTCTGGTATCTTGTCTTCCATATTTGCATAAAAGTAATTTTTGCAGAACCTAATGAGCGTCTGCAGGCAACAAGTTGTCCTGATATCCATTCGCTCCCTCCCTCTCTGCCTTCCAACACATTTTCTTTTCCACCTCTCTTCCCCACCCTTCTTTTTGCTTTTCCCTTCCTCCTCTTTTCTCCCCACAACCCATATGCTCTTTATTGAGAACTCGCTGGCACGTCCTCCCGCCTCCCCCAGGGGCAGGGGCACCGCAGGAGCAAAACCAAGGCTGCCGCCTCGCAGCACATTTCGGCGGGGCGCCCAGATCCTCATCCAGTCCCTAAATCCGATCCCACCCGACTGACTTTCCAAAGAGGCAACTTCGGCGCCAACGCTTTTGACAAATAACTGCGGGGGTCCTAGGATGACCGGAGCTGGCCTGGCCGCGACGTGCGGATTTAAACCCAAGCATTCACCAATCCGGTCTCATCACCCATCCGGTCTCATCACCAATCCGGTGTCATCCGGTATCACATCCAGCCGAGGAGCGCGTGGTGAAGGACCTGGCGCTTTTATTTCCTCCGGTAAACACGGCAAAGCCTTTCCGCGGAACTGAGGGTTTCGTGGTGTTTGCGTCTGGAGAGTGATGCCTGCGACCTGGTGGTGGGCCAGGCGGGTCCCTGCCAGTCGGAGCCCAGCCTCCAGACGGGAGGGGGGAAAGGCCTGGGTGGCAGACGCCACCATCTAGGTCGGGCACGTTATTTTAGATAGATCATCATTTCCCCGCAAGGCCTGTGTCCGCCTACAAATGATGTCAACTCTCAGAGGCTGGAGAAGACCATGGGCCCTGACACGCCTGTGCTGGGGGCCCCATAATTGTGAGGGCTGCGTGCTGAAGGGTGACACGCAGCCCAAGCTGACGCCCCTCCCCCAGGATTGGCCTGAAGATGCGTGCAACCCACCCCACGGGGAAGGAGAACCTTCAAGTAAAGGAGGCAGGCCCCCCTGCACCCCCACCAGGCTGGCGCAGGCAGCGGCTGTTTCACCTGCGGTGCCGATGAAACTGGGGGCGGGGGCAGTCCTGGCAAGTCACGTTCCTCCTTTTACAATCAAATGATGCTATTGTTGCCTTCATTCTGCACGTGCGCAGACAGCGGGGTGGGCAGCACCGCCTGTTCCCCGAACCGGCCTAGGGACCCTCCTGGCTGCTTTCTGGGCGATGTGTCCGCATGGAGAAGTGCTGCCTCCCCGACCCGGGCTCAGGGACGCGGGGTCAGGCGCTCGCCCGCCAAGCCCCACTACCGGGTCGCCGTGCTGCCAAGCAGCGCCGGTATCGTGGCCAGATCGGGCCGGGGGACGCCGTGGCCCGCAGGCTCCGGGCAGGGGGAGGTGGAGGACCCCTCCCTGCTCCGGGCAGCCGGGGCCGGTGCCTTTGGCTCAGGAGAGACTTGGAAAGATGTAGGAGAGGCCCAGCCTTCAGAGGCCGGCAGGAGGGACTGGAGTGGAGAACTGGGGATGTGCTCTTCAAACAAACCTGGCGAGTCTGGAGCCACCCTGCCCTCGCGACCTGTTGCGCGGCACAGGGCTCCGCTGGCTCTGGGCCGGGTCTGGCGTGGCGGCGAATGGGTGCCCCCGGCCGGGAAGCCCCAGCCGGCACCGCTGCCCCGGTCCTCCCGGGTCGGACCTCCAGGACGCCAACCTCAGGGCATCTGGACTCCCGCGGTCTTTGGAAGTGGCCCCGCCGCCGCACCGGCCCAGCCGCTGGGCCTCCGGGGTCTTCTGGCCGCTGTGGGGTGGGAAAGGGTCGAGCTAACGTCTGGCTACTATAACCTCAGAGCGCGAGGGCAGGGGAGAGGCGGGGAGGGAGACACCCCGGAGCTGCGCCCCACCCGCTCGGGGCCTATATTTGCACGTTTTTATAGCAAGTAGTGGTGGTTTATGGATGCGCGTGATCCAGACCCGCAATGGTGATCCAGATCCCCCGTCAGTACCTCCATTCAAAGGTCCTCCCGGCTCTGCCTCTTCGGCGAAGAGGAGTTAGCAACCCAGGAGGACGAATTTGCAGCAAGCGCGCCCCTCACCGGCCCCCGGCTCCGCAGAGCGCAGGCTGTGGGGGAGGGAGGGCGCCGGTCAGCGCCGGGAGGGCCCCGGATACGAGCCCTGGGCTCAAAAAACCCAGTGAGACTCGGCCCTGGACGATTTTAAACCGCCCACCGCCGTCCCGGGTTCCTTTCAGCGCAATTTGAAGTTCCTATTGCCTCTTGAAATCCACTTTCGGTACCTCCCTCCGAACAATTACCGCTGACCCCAGAAAGTGCTCTGTCTGCCTCACCCAACCTTTTGGAGACAGAAAACTGGGGAAAAGTGGAGCTCCCGAGAGGCAATCCCTGCGAAGGGGCTTAAGAAACAAGGACACAGACTTTGGTGGCCCCCTGTGTGCACAAAAGAAAGGAGAAAGTTTTCCTCTTGACAAATGGAATCATTTTATATAAAACCAGGTTGAGCAGGGCTCCATTCTCAACAGCACCTCCTTTGTACTATGAATGCACGTGGGGCGCTATCCCCCTTGGGAGGGGGTGGGGGTGCCCAGAATTTTTCGGATGCCTCCAGAGGCCTCTCTTAGCTGCTTCCAGGTCGACCAAGCCTTTTGACATTGGGCCCAGCCCAAAGCTGCCTGCTTTCCCACTTGTGAGTGAATTTTTAAAGGGCCAACTTGCAGACGATTGAGCAGCTATTCTTTGCCCCCCCTTCCCAAACTTGCCTTCTGAGTTTGCCTTAATTAGGGGGCTAGGAAGGGGTGTTGGGAGCCCGAGTTCACGTAAAATCTGTCAAAGGAGTTGGGGGAAGGGAGATCGGAGAGAGAGAGAGGTGGGTGGAGAACTCCAGTGCAGGAAAAATTCAAAAATCGTAAAAGGAAAAGGGGGAACTTGAAGCCTAGAAGTCATTGTTTCCTTTATTTCAAAGGGAAAAACCTGCCCGATTCTCATCCTTTTGATTGATTAAGGCCCTGAATACCTCGCAGTCTCAGAGTGACAGTCCCTGAATAGACTCGCGCGCATAAAGCGCAGTGCAGAGCCCGGGGCTGGCACTGGGGGTGTAAAGGAGGCGAGTTTGCTGGCACTTACCAAGTTATAAATAAAAGGCCATGCACAATGGTACCTTCTCTGAGGACAGACAGTCTTTACAACACTCCTGGCGTCATATCCTGCTGGGGACACTTCAGCTCCTAGCCAAGACTCCGCTCCTTTTATTTTTCCAGCAGTTTAGCCTGAATACCATAATAAATTCCTGAGAACAAACGCTGCAGCCGGGCAAAACCTGAACGTATAGACGCAGTTCTGCCTGCGTGTTGGGAATCTATACATTGAGATTTAGAGCTGGGGCTTTGCAGACCGGGTTTTTCAATCAAGAAGAGGAGACCCTTTTCTTCTCCTCCCCTCCCCAGCCGTCCAGTAGCAGTCCTGCGGCCTCCTCCCCACCTCTGCTGGGCTGCACAGTACCCCCGCCCCACCCCCTCCGGTGAAGACAAAAGAACCGGTCAGCACAGCCTGGACTCCTGGGAGAACCCCTGAACAAGCCTAGGCCAAGGGGCGTTGACCAGAGGAAGGGAGGCCACGCATGTCTGGGGGTTCCCAGTGCCTTCTCATGGAACTGAGCGACCTCCAGTGGCAGCAAGCCAAGTAAAGTGTGCGTGCGTGTGTGTGTGTGTGTGTGTGTGAGAGAGAGAGAGAGAGAGCCCCACAGGCAGAAAACACAGACATACTCACCCAGAGAGAAATAGAGTCAGAGAGAGACACACAGAGATACTCAGAGAGACAAAGAGACAGAACTAGCCAAGGAGAGAAACACATAGAGTGACAGAGCCGGAAAGAGAGGGACCCCTCCCTACTCGCAGCAGCTGTCACCTCCCTCAGGCGCTCTCTCCCAATTTCTACGAGTCCATCCTTCTCTCCTGGGGAAGGCGCGCAGCGCGGGTCCCTTTGGGGCCGGCCGAGGTCTCGGCACCGCCGGGGATGGGAAGAGAAAGTGGCCGCTGTCGCCCAATCAGCGCGTGTCTCCGCCACCCGGGACGGTCTCCCCGTCGGCCAATCGCAGCTCAGGGCTCTTGACCAAGCTTTGGGTGAAAGAACTAATAAAGGCTCAAGAGCCTGGATCCCCGCACTCGCTGTCACGACAGGAAGAGACTCCGGCCGGCCGTGCTCCGGGCCCCACCCCCTTCCCTGGCTCGTCGCTGCGCCGAGACCCCTCCCCAGCGTCCCAGGCGCGGGGCCACTCGCCCAGATTCCCAGTAAACTTTCCCACCCTGGGCTCGAGATCCTGGACTCCGGGGCTTCCCGGCCTGGTTCCTCCTCGAGCCTCTCCCTGGACTAGAAGCGAGCAGCCCCCTTCCCCACGGCCCTCCCTCCGTCTCCAGCCTCTTTGGGGAGGGGGCTCTCCGCGCGCCGGGGGAGTGCCCGAGGGTGACCAGCGCCTCGCTCGCCTTCCTATCTCGCCTGTGCCTGCATATCATTTCCAAACGAAGCTGCCCGCAGGATGACCACGCTGGCCGGAGCTGTGCCCAGGATGATGCGGCCGGGGCCGGGACAGAACTATCCGCGCAGCGGGTTCCCGCTGGAAGGTAAGCGAGGGCCTCCGCAGCGCGCGGGTCCGGGGCTGGGCCCGGGCTGCTCCCTCTACTGTGGTCTCTGCAGGCTCCTTGAGCGATCCAGGAACCCCCTTCCCTGGGCACCCCACCCCGGGACGGAACCGTTGGGGCGACATCCGCACCCGATTGCCTCTCTGTAAACGGAGCGCGGTTCTCTCCGAAAGCCCGTTCCGAGCTTGGCGGCCAGGCCTGCGCCAGGCGCGTCCACTTTGCCCGGCTGTTTTGGAAAAGCCTTGGTGCCGAGGGGATGGACGGGCTTCCGAGCACCAGAAGGCAACTTCTCCGTATTTTGTTCACTTCAAAGGCGCCTCAGAATTGTCCTGGCTTTGCCCATATTTGCTAAGCTCTTGTCAAGTTCCTGGAAAATTGTCTTGCTTATGCACAGTTGTGGCGGCCAGGCCCTGCGTCCTCCCTCGCGCTTGCGATGTTTAGTATTAATTATTTATTGAGTTTCGCTCTCCTTCAGCGGCATCTTGAAGTTTCCATAAGCCGTTTGGGAAACTGACAAAGTCAGCTGGAAGGTTCTGGGAATTCCGGGGACACAGGAAGTTTTGCAAGCCCTAGTCCTTCTGACAGTTTGAGAGGCTGGGGCGCCCCAGCGGGGATGCGGGTCGGGTGGCTCCTGCCTTCCGACCTCGGTCCAGAGTAGAATGTAACACCCAGGGCATGGCTGGAGGCAAGGGGGGCCTGCGAGCAGATCTGGTTTGCCCCTGTCCCCAGATGTAACAGGTGACACGCCTGCCACCTGCAGCCTCCTTTTGGGACCCTCTTTGATCCTTGGCTACTGCGTTCTTAGCTGGAAATCCCAAAGGCTCTGAGCGCCTTCAAGTCCCTTGGGAAGGGAGCAGGCCTACTTGGACAGGGTTTGGTGCGAGCAGAGTTCCAGACGGCTGAAGCCGGGGTGAACTGTCTGCCAGGAGCCTGTTTCTTGAACAAGATACACTTTGTGCCAGCCACAGGGTCACCCGGTTCCCCAGAGCTGCCACTTCTCCTGGGCGGAAAGGGAAGACGGTTTCTCTGGGACAAGTTATTTGCCCTGGTTGTTCCTTCCACACAAGATTATGTGGCCCTGAATTGCTAATAGTTTGAACAAACGTGATTGAAAAGGGACCTGGGGCTGGAAGCTGGATGGGAGCCGTTTCATTGCTGAGACTGTAACATTCGGATTGCCCCAAAGAGCGGGAAGTTAGAGGCTCATCCTCCCGGGTGGCCGCTCCCAATTCCCCTGAAATGACTTTCCCTTTGCCTCTCTTTTCACCTTCTGCCCCCAGTGTCCACCCCCCTCGGCCAGGGCCGAGTCAACCAGCTGGGCGGTGTGTTTATCAACGGCAGGCCGCTGCCCAACCATATCCGCCACAAGATCGTGGAGATGGCCCACCACGGGATCCGGCCCTGCGTCATCTCCCGCCAGTTGCGCGTGTCCCACGGCTGCGTCTCTAAGATCCTGTGCAGGTACCAGGAGACTGGCTCCATCCGGCCGGGTGCCATTGGCGGCAGCAAACCCAAGGTGAGCAGGCGCCGGCTCCGGAGGCCTCTGGGCCTGCGGTCTCCCGGTTAGGGAAGAGCAGGCTGGGGACAAGGGGTGCCCTCTGGGACTTTCCAAGAAGTTATTGTCTGGGGAGGAGTGTGTGTGTGTGTGTGTGTGTGTGTGTGTGTGGTGTAAGGTGTGGGGGGACTTAGTTGCTGCCTAAGCCGAGATTCCTTGATAAACACTAGCAGCGGCTCTCAACTTGTGGGTCGCGACCCCTTTGGCGGTCGAACGACCCTTTCACAGGGGTCACCTAAGACCATCCTGCACATCAGATATTTACATTATGATTCATAACAGTAGCAACATTACAGTGATGAAGTAGCAACGAAAATAATTTTATGGTTGGGGGTCACAACATGAGGAACTGTATTTAAAGGGCCAGAAGGTTGAGAACCACTGCAAGGGAAAACGCCAGCCCTTGTGTAAAGGAAATGTAGCATTTTTAAATACCCTGAATCTCATAATTCCTCAACACATTATTTTGACAGGCAACCGCCAAACTGTCCGTGTCCACTTGTTGCTGGTTTCTTCCTCAGGCATCTCCCCAGCTCCCACCCACTGCACTGCCCTTCCCCAAACTAATCTTAGGAGCCTCTGCTTTCTTCACGGTTGCTTTCCCAGCTCCAGTCCCCAGTCTCTTCCAGCCCAAATTGTCTTCAAGGAGTCAAAAGCTGAGTGATGTGTTTTCATTGTAGTGAGCCCATGATTTGGCTTTTAAAAAGCAGTTTGGTGCTATCCTCAAATGAGTCTGGTTCCCTTTAAAAAAAGAAAAGAGGGAGAGTCTTACTGGCGAGGGCTGAGTGGAGGGGGTTGCAACAGGGCTACCTTTTGGATGTGAGGAAAATGCAATACAGTTTTCTAGTTGCCACAGGGCAACACCAAAAGGAGAGTTCTGGTAAACTTAAGACTTCTGAACACCCTCCTCTTCTCCTGCCTCCTCAGGGCCCCTTACAACCTTCCTAAGAATCTCTGGAAATGCTTTTAATTGGAAAAAAAAAATAAAAGCCAGTTTCTCCAATTATGCTCATTTGTTATTTGCTCTAATTCTTGAAAACCTAGATGCTCACCTTCTGCATTTCACTCTGCTCTTCACTTTAGCTAAAATCTGGCGCTCCTTTGGAGAAGGGAAAGTTGCGGGTCTGGTTTGATTTCTCTGCTCCTCTTTCAAGCATTTCTTTTTGTTTAGTTTCATTTTCGTGTTGGTGTTGTACAGGGAATTGCCTTTCTGGATTCCCAGGGCGCAGAAACGGCACACCTCTTTTTCATTTATCCTAATTGTCCGAGCTTAGCTGGGGAGGAGGAGGGTACCCAGGGTGCTTTGGGGTGGGATGACTTTCTGGCAGGCCCTTCCTAAGGGTCCACTGCCAGAGAGAGCTGGGACCCCGCTGCTAACAAGGGAGCCCTGCCCAGGGGGCCAGCGGACTGGGCCGCAACACCTGCCTGCCTGTTCTCTTAAAGCAGGTGACGACGCCTGACGTGGAGAAGAAAATTGAGGAATACAAGCGAGAGAACCCGGGCATGTTCAGCTGGGAAATCCGAGACAAATTACTCAAGGACGCGGTCTGTGACCGAAACACCGTGCCCTCAGGTACCAGGCCCGCTCGCGTCCCCCTGCGGCGCCGTCACCAGTCGCTCTTTCCCCGGGCGAGTCATTTAAGCTATAATCACCTCCAGGGTCGACCTGGGCCATCGGGAGGGGGCTCCTCCCTGAGGCCCTGAAATATTTAGGAACCACCGTTTTATGGAGGGAGCGCTGAGCCGCTGGTCCTGAGGTTGAGACCAACAACCCAGGGGGCTCCCCAAAGAGGATTTTTGTCGGGAAAACAGGGCAGGAAACGCGAGGCGGAGGCCAAGCATTTATTAATATTGATGTTCTCTTTTAAAGAGAAACAAATGTTTTGGTAACCCCCGTGGAAGGGAGATGGGGCCGGGCCGCGGAGGCTTCGCGGGGTGCGGGAGGCGGGGAGCCTCGCATCGGGCCTGCGGCGGCCCCGGGGGTCCCCTGGAGCCCCGGGTGGCGGAGGGCGCAGGGAGGCCAGCGCCGCCGGAGCGCCAGGGCGCGCGGGAAAGTTTGTTTTTAATTAAAAGGAAACTCCCTCCCTCCCCCTTCCCCCGGCGAGACCGAGATGTTTCAGAGCACGGATTTGTTTACCACACTGGAATCTGGAAAAAATAAATGCGGGGAGAGCGCATTTTCTTTTGATTTTTACAATAGGAAACGGTTCTGCAGTTGAAATTGAAACCCTTTATAGTCTAAAAAAAGTTGAATTGCAGGGGAAGGGTCCGCTGCTGTTCTGCCTCCCTGACCGGGAACCGCGGGCCCGCCCAGTGCCTGCAGGTGGTGGTGGTGGGGTGCAGGGTGGGCTGCGGGAGACTTCTCTCAGATTGGAGGCCTGGACCCGTCCATGGAGTCCAGAAGGGAAACGTTTCCTGCTGGGAGCGAGGGGCAGAAAGCGGCGGCTCGCGGCCCTTGCTCGGAGGTGCAAGCTTCCCAGGCTCCAATCTCCCTTTTCCTAGATGGGGGGTGGCACGCGCGCGGGGGGGGGGTGTCGAATGGGAGGCTGAGAGGTGGTAGAAGAAGGTGGAGGCCCCAGGAACCAGGAGGAGAGAGAAGTTGGCTTTACCAGGCAGCGGATCCAGGGCGCGGACTGGGGGTGGGGGCTCCGTGCCGCCCAGCCCAGCACCAACTCAGTGGTCTGCGCTCCCCCCTCCTCCCGCCCCCAGTGAGTTCCATCAGCCGCATCTTGAGGAGTAAATTCGGAAAAGGGGAGGAGGAGGAGGTCGACCTGGAGCGGAAAGAGGCAGAGGAGAGCGAGAAGAAGGCGAAACACAGCATCGACGGCATCCTGAGCGAGCGAGGTAAGTGGCGCGCCGAGGGCCTGCGCCGGGCGGCAGTCGCGCTCCGGAGCCGGGGGCCGGAAGGCGGCCCAGCTCCCGTGGGTGTCCAGGTCTCCTGGCTCCTGCCCACGCCACCCGGGTAAGAGCCTTCGAGTGAGGGACGCACTTGCAATCAAAACGAACATTTTCTCTTTTGCTTTCTCTATTTTACAAATCTTTCTTCCGCCTCCCCGCCAGCCCCGGCAGTCTATGACTATGAATTGCGTTTTAGGTGCGGGGCCACCCTCTTGCCTTTGGGCGCGGGACTGGGCGCCTCGGTGTGGTTGGGGACCGGGGAGGCAGTCTGTGATCCTCCGAGGTGGAAGGAACTTTTGCGCCCTCAGGAAAGGCCCTGCTGTCCAGAGTTTGTAACATCAGAGGAGGAAGGGAGAATGGAGAGGGAGACGGAGGGAGGAAAGGAGGGAGGGAGGGAGGGAGGGAGAGAGAGAGAGGTGGAGGGAGAGACTCAATACTTCGATAAGCAGTGAGCCCTGAAAGTTGCCCCTCGTCGGTTACCCTATAAATGTATATGTGTAAGCTGTCTGCTTTTTCTTGGTTTTACATTGGTTTTCAAATGCGATGGGGTTTGATGTGTGTGTGTGTGTTTGGGAAGTAAAACTGAGGGGATCTGGGCTTTGGACCCTAGTGCTGGCGCCACCTGTTCCTCCTTGGCTGCGAACTGGCAGCATCTAGAGAAAATCTCTCCCTCAGAAGCATGCGTGCAGCCTGCTCCCTTTCACATGCTGTGGGTCCTCTTCAGACTTGAAAGGTACCCACCTGCCCACTCCCAAAGGCAAGTCTACCCCCTGGAGCCGGACCAGGAAGGGGTGACTGCACAGAGAGGTCTCAGCAGATTTGCACCTCAGTAGTTTTGGCCTTGGGGATGGTTTTACCTCTTCAAATTTGAGACGGATCTGAGTCCCCACCCCCTCCCCTGGCATTCTCTTATCTGGGGCCTGGATTTTGTAAGGCCGAGTTTTGAGTTGCCCTAGAGGTCAGGCAACTCTTCAGGTGGGCTTGAAGCCATCACACAGAACTGGCTGGGTCCATGGCCCTCAGTCCGGTAGGAGTGTGGATGGTCCTTTCTTTGACCTTTCTGGCTCACCCCCTGGCAGACTGGTGGGCTTTATAAATCAATGCAAAATCTGTACTCAACCTCAAAAGGACACTTAGATTTAGATGCTCCGAGTCCAAATGGCTGCTTTCAGATGCTCTGGCACAAACAGGTGATCGAGAAAAATCACTGGAAGCCGTGGCAGGTTGCTTCCCTCCTTTTGAAGCAGGGCTCTCACACAGGCTCGGACTCGGTCTGAGCTTCTCTTTTGAGAGGGGTGCTTCCTTTTCAGTCTCTGAGAAGACATCTCAGCTTTCATTCCAGCCCAGATACAGCACAGAGGTGCTGGAGAGGGAAGACAGTGAGAAACCAGACACCCCAAACCCAATGGGCCCCTTCGGGCAGGGCAGTGGGGCCAGGAGCCCCGAGCATCCCTGAGGCTCCAGAAGGATTGGGGGGAGGCACAGCTTTGCTACTTGTTGCCGGAGGCACGGAGCGCGGCAGATCCGAGGCTCCCTTACAGCACAGGCAACCGAGGCCCAGGAGACAAAACGCCCCAAATGAGCTGGTCAAACATTTGTACAACTTTTCCAGCTTTTACAAAGAAGGCCTTCTCTACACAAGCTACACTTGGAGATGAACTTGGGAGACAAAGCCTGGAGAGTCCATTGAAACTCACACTTTAGCTCGGCCCAGACAAAGCTCCGGCTCGCAGCAGCTTGATGTGAACAAAGGAAGGCAACCTTTTTATAATTCAAGGAGAAAAGAAGAGAAAACAGCCCCACAAAGGGCGGCGAATAGACATTATGGGCTGGCAATGAGGGATGAATTATTCAATGAGCCCCAATAGCTGCTGCGCCAGGAAGTTTTATGGACTCTCCAGCGTGGAAAAAGTGGCCATTTCACCTACAAAATGTTTCCAGTCTTTTGGGCCGTCTAGCTGGATCGGGCTGCCATTCAAGGGCAATTGCTACCATTTTAAAAATCAGAGAATTCTCCCCAGCGGGGGTCACACCGTTGAAAACACACACACACACACACACACACACACACACACACACACACCTCGGGGGCTGAAGCCTAATTTAATTTGGGGTTGTCAAGGATGAAGCTGCGTCAGTCTCGCCAGTGCCTCTAGCTCCTTTTCCAGATGAACCCCGGAGGGCAAGAGGGGCCCAGAGAAAGGAGAGTGAAGTGTAGTTTGAAGGAAAGTTTAGAAACCTCAAAAAATTCTCTCTGTTGTTTGGGTATCAAACGTCACCGGTTGCCCCGCTTGTGAAATAGAAGGTATGTTGCTGAAGAGCTCTAAGCGCCCTGGCCAACAAGGGGCCTTTGGGTGTCCTGACCAGGGCGCTGTGCTCTCTGGAGGTTCCAGCTTCCTCGTGGGCCTGGAGGGTGCTGCTGCGACTGGCTTTCCAGGGGACATCTTTCCACTTGTCCGACACTAGGACACAGGGGAGAGGCACCCCGAAAGAGGTCAGAACCACCCTCGTTCCAGGGTCTTGCTCTTTCTCTTGCTCCTTTCACCTCCCCAACCCAACTTTTCCTTGCCCCCTCTCCCCCCCTAACCCAGGGACAGTGCAGTGTGCCGCCCAGGTGCGCTCCGGCCCTGATGCCCTTGCTGGGTCCATTCTTCCAACATCTTTGCGGGTGGAAGGGGAGGATTGGGCGACCAGGGCACACCCAACCCCACGGCTCAGCCCCTGGCTGGCACAGAGATCCGAGCTGGTGCTGCCTGAGGAGCCAAGCCCTGGTCGCAGCATCAGGGACTGTGGGTACGGCCCGCGCTGCGGCCACTCAATGGGCGCCTCTGTTCCT